AATAATTTATTGCCCTTAACGGGGAGCGATCTCAGGCTTGTCAAACCTGGTCCGCGTGATCCTTAATAACGATACCGAGCGATGCTCAACCACAATTAGATTATCGACGCCTCACTGTCGATTATACGGACCAGCAAATTCTTTGTCCTTCGTCAATTTCGTAAGCAGTAAAAACCGTTGAAACTTCAATCTCGTAAAAGAAGAAGAAGGAGAAGAAGAAGGTGCGCAATAACTGTCGATAATTACAAGGTTAATGCGACCCGCGTGCGCCATTATGTAATTTTTTTCCGAAGTCCTTCTGAAGGCTGCGATAAAGACGTTCTCTCGAAAAGAAAAAAATACGCACGCGATATTCCCATTCTGTTTCTTTGTTCGTGTTGCCGGTACAAATCGTAATGGATTTCAAACCATAAAAAGAATCAAATCGAGACAAACCGCGGACTCTTTTAACGGTCTCCAATTGAAGGAAAATCAATGTACCTTTTACATCGTCAGCCAAGAAGGACCTTAGTCAAAATCAATTTCAGTTTGAAATAGTGGTCTCAATTATTCGAAGCTTCGCAACTTCGAAGCTTCGAAGTATCCGAAGAAACGAAGAAACTTCGAATATCGAATTTTCGAAGTTTCGAAGTTTCGAATATTCGAAGTCAACTAATGCATTAAGATATAAGCTTTCAAAGACCAACCTAATTTATCATCTGTATCAGGCAGTAAAAATAAATAGTTAATAAGATAAAATGTTAATGATAGAAAATTTATTTCTTTCGAATTAATTGTATTTTTATGAGCGAATGGACAAAAATGTGTCCGACAAAAAGTACATTTGTTTTTTTATACTTATAATGATATTAATTAGTTTTGATGAATGATATTAATTAATTTTGCAAAATGTGTTATTGTTTTTATCTTGTTAATACATTAGTTGACTTCGAATATTCGAAACTTCGAAACTTCGAATCTTCGAAAAATTCGAAAACTTCAATTCTCGAATAATTTCTACGAAGCTTCGAATCTTCGAAGATTCGATTTTCAATTTCGAATCTTCGAAGATTCGAAGCTTCGAAATTGAAAATCTTCGAAGAAAAATTTCAGCTCTAGTTTGAAGCGCACAAAAAGTTCGATTAAGAGTTATTAAAGATGTGCAAAAAAAGAATAATTGCATCGTCGCACTGCATTTGTGCATTTGGGCTCAATTTTTCACAGGTGGCCGACAAAGGAGCCAACTATCACCTGTTCAATTAGTTTTACTTATTTCTTCTGTCGAGTAAAAATTTTCTCTCAAACGGATGTGCAGTAATACATGTATTTGAATACGGGCGGTAAATCTCTCGTAAATAATCAAAGTTAGAGTACAGGCAAACCTTATCTACATACCAGAGATAGGAATTGAATATAAATTACTTACAATACTAATATGTATATTAATGAACACTTAATGACGTGGTATGTTTCGTTAGAGATATCGGATAGCGTTATCGCCAATTTCGCCATTTTACGCTCGAGTTGCGGGAAGCGCGGTATCACGTTTGATATTTACATGTAGATCGAATTAGCGCCTCGGCGATGCAAATGTCGGCGATTATTACGCGAAGACGAACAAACTGGAAGGCCAATTACGCCGGATTACTTGGCATGATCGAAAACAGCATTTTGCCACGACGTGTCCTTGCAACGTAATGCATGCGCAATAATTAAATAAACGGTTTTACGTATTTGCATGTCTGAGATTATGGAAGACTCGACGTATACACGCTCTTCTCTCGATACTCTGCATTTGACAGAGGGAGAGAGAGAGAAAGGGAGAAAGAGAGAGAGAGAGAGAGAGAGAAGGAAGCCGGTTAATTCAGCGACGTCGATTCTTGCCAGTCGAGATATCCATCGACGGAGGGCGAGTTAATTGCACGACAAACCGCGAGATACGCCGGGGCACGTTGTCCTTGGAATGCGTCCGAGGTTGCGAGTTCGTTTAGGCTTCATTCCCCGAGTATATAGCAGCAACAGCGGCAGCCGCAGCAGCCGCAGCATCCGCGGCGGCGGCGACGGCGGCAGCAACAGCAGCAGGTGGTGGACCTGTCTGAATCGGTTTATAAATAAGTCGTGTTACCTCCTTAACAGCCCGTCATTACTTGCATGCACCTTCGAACCGTCTGGCATTTATATCCGCAGCTTAGGGTATCCGTTTACACTTTGATAGTAAACGATAGTAACGGCCGAACGGCCCCTCATTATGCTTTATGCGCGCAGCGGTGCGCCGCGCAACAAAACGTCTGCGATATTTCACGTTGCAACGTGGAATCTTGCGCAACGTAAATTGCCTATAAGGGAGGTAAAGAAGGGCTGAGCGTAAGTCACAGCGACGAATGACGGGAATAAATTGAGATGCGTGTTATCGGAGGCCGCGTGATCGTTCGCGTTGCGAAATTTCTCGTGGTGGAAGAACCACGTGGCCTGGCCTCAAATTTATAACTGGCAAATAAAAAAAACTGCGTTTTCGATTACCTGAACTTTGCTCGCTCGTTCCGGAATTTGCATTTATTCGATGCAACATGTACCAGAACAAATATTATATAAAATTAAGGTCTCTTGACGTTTTTTTTTCGATCTATTATTTATTTTGCATCCACTTTAGCATCGATGCCCGGCATGCAAAGTAGAATGCATGCCCTTTCGCATAATCGTAAACGATCGAAAGCAACTACCACGTAGAATAATCTTGATTAGTATTCGAGGAGCGATCAACGTGTAAACCCCTGGGCCTACAACATCGCGCCGCGAAATGTTTCATTCAACGCTGCGAAAATTTCTTGAAGTGTACCGTTTTACAATGTTATTCGCGTCAATTCAATATGATTGAAATATCAACCGCATCGACTGTGACGTTTCAAAAGCTCGAAAGCTCAAGTAGCTTACTTCAATGGTGTCGAAGAAAACTTCATATTTCATTTCTTTGTACATTTTTCATCTTTATGACCCGGTTTTACCAACGTCGTTTAACTTTAAGCTTAGCTTGATTCGCTCTTTGTCTCTTTCCAACTGTTACTTTAGATAGAGACAAACGTGAATTAAACTAAGATTAAAGTTAAGCGACGTGTGGTGAAACTGGGCCTATGTCTCTTTGCATTACAGAAGACAAAGATTCGAGAAAAATCAAACGATCTGACAAATTAAAATTGAAATTAAAAATTGAAATCAAAATTAGTGTTAGACACTTTGTTAAGTGGTTCTAAAAGGTTGATATGTAAATAAGCCGATTGTTTGTCTGTGCGAAAAGAATTTTGCAACGCACGATTGGGATTGGCATTGGCAATGAAATCGCAGTCTGAACGTGCCATTAAGACCCATCGTCGCGATTAAATAATGGTAGACTCCTTAACACGAAGAAGGAAGGCGCAGTCGAATGTTACGTCATTGTTCGCGCAATATTCTTTTCACTAGACGGAAACGAAAGATCATGAAACGAGATTGGAGAACGGGTCTATTCATTTCAAGTTCTCAACGCAGTTCATTCCCTCTTCTCCCCTCCCTCTTTCACGCTATTTATCTTCCACTTTTTTTTGGCCTTCTCTCACGAACGCGTCTTCTCTTTAAAAAGATTTTCTTCTTTCGACGACATATACATGCATACGTGCTATTGACAAGCCGTGTACGTTGCAATTCGTTACGAGTTTACACAGCGTTGCTTCTACCGTTGCTGCTGTTCACGCGTTGGAATACATGGAATACATCGCGAGCAGCGGCACGAAAACGTGAGCTCGCACCGGCATGCTAAAAGAATTTTGCGGTAGCATAATTTCAGAACTCGTTTAAAGCGTATTGCCCTCTTACATACATAATGTGGGGCGCAGAGTTTCATTCATATTTACAAACATTTTGAAGTAGATTATTAAATGTAAGAACACTGTATCGGTACCGAATGTCTAAACGTTTAAATTGTACTCTGTAAAGAAAATATTACAGTGTATCTTCTCCGTTGACGCAGTACAATTTTTTACTCTTGTTTAAATATTAATTAGAATCAATGCTCGACAAAGAAGTTTAGAATTAATATGACAAACTGTATCTGTACACCGTCGCCCGTGGCGACATACGAACATTTATATTTCCGGTTGCACAGATCTCACAATCAGTTTCTCGACTGAGCCCCATTGCTCGTAGTTTCCATCTTGATAAACACCAGCGAACTGCACACAATCAATAGTGCTATAGGTAGTTGCGAAAGATAAGGTGCACGCGATGACGTTCTTTGATGTAGGTTTTGCCGTGCGTTAAGATGCTGTTCCTTTATCGGATGAATCGTTAAGCAGAAGTCGATAGCCGTTCTTCGAAATGGCAGGGTCAATAGCCAAGATAGTCAACATGCACGCCTAGACTTACTCATCCCTCGACAATTCGACTACGAAAGAAAACCAAATATCTCTTTCGAACCGAAATACCACATAAATCAATTTCGACCACGCCATGTTCTTATTTAGTTAAATAAAAATAACGCAAAAGATCAAACTATTAAACTGCTCTTCCAAATTCAGCTGCTTAATTAAATTTCATCTGTGTAATACTTGTATATACATATATATGTATATATGTGCGTGTATGATTTCATAGTTCATTGTAGTTTGTAATTTGTATCTACATAATACTTACATTGGATTCATTTGTGTAATCCTAATATTTGATAAACAAATATTGTACATGAATAATAAGTATGATATATTTCAATGTTTCTTTCATTCGCTAACAGATATGCTCGTTAAAAAGTCCAGATCACGTTTCGTTTGCGGTGCTTGAAGATAATAAAAGAATGATAATAAAACTGTAAAATCACAGAGAAAGACTTCCCGAGCTAAAAAATTAGAATCTTCTGATAGCTTGTTTAATAATTTCCAAAACTTGTTTTTGATTCTTCATAAAAAATTTTTGTACTTCAAGAAATGTAATGTTAACCGTTTATTTATTTTAAGATATTATTTTCCATACAATAAAGTAACTTTACCATATTGCAGATAAAGTTGGATACACAAGATGTGGAAAGTTCGATTGATTTTGAACGTCCTTGCAACGCTAATCGTGACAAGACCGACAGAAGCTGGTAAGAACTATTCAATTTTTATGTTTATTTCACGATCTTTATTTATTTTTAAATTAAAATAGAAAATTTAGAATAAGCAACATCGAATTGCAGAGTTTAATTAGACTTTTGTTAGTTCTTTTATAATCAATTATCAGGAAAAGTTGATTTAAAACAAATTATTAATTAATCATTAAATCAATTTTACGTTAACACAAGAATAAATACTTATTTTCGCGACATGACAATTAAAACATTGAAAACAACAAGAATACTATTATGTTACATAATGAGTATTGCAGGTAATGAATTTTAAAAAATTCTTATTTAAAATACGCATGCAATCTGATTGTAAAAATAATAAAAAAAGGATAATATTACATATTTCATAAATGGTATTATTTAGTTAATTAAAAATCAAATTGAATTTAAATGCTTATTAGCCATCTTGAATTGCAGATTATTACGGATATAGCCATCGTCAATACAGACAGAGCAGTGCTCCCTTTAAATGTATAGAAGAGGGTTACCATCCCGATCCGCATGACTGCAGAATTTACTACAGATGCGTAGATTGGGGCAACGGCAGCCCATTGATGACCTTCAAATTTGAATGTGGAGTAGGCACGGTGTTTTCCAAAAATAAGGGAGACGTTTGTACGCATCCAGAAGAAAGCGGTCGGCCTGAATGTGGCAGCTCCGAGAATGAACTCGATTCGAACGTGCAAGATCCTCCTTCGCCCATATGGACAACGGTCAGACCAACCATACAGTCGCAACCGACCATGATGCAATATCCAACAACGACTGGATTGTCTACAATAACGACTGAAGCAGCTACAACAATTAAAAAACCAGAAACAACATTACAACCACCGTTAGCAAGTGGACCTGATCAACCGGAGAATAATATTATTAATTGTCGAAATGAACCTCAATGTACGCAAGAAGGATTTTTAGCTGATACTTGCGATTGCAAAAAATTCTATAGATGCGTAAACGAAGGATATGGACAGTTTAGGAAGTATGACTTTAAGTGTGGCGTAGGAACTGTTTGGGATCCAGATAATCAAGCGTGTAATCACGCTTGGGCTGTTACAAGGAAGAACTGCAGGCAGAACTTGGAAGGTGGAGACGGTGTTGATAATAGTGGACAATGGAATGGGGATAATAGTGGGCAATGGAACGGAGATAATAGTGGACAATGGAATGGTGATACTGGTAGTCCAGGCGAACCAGGACAACCTGGAGATCCAAATGGCCAACCAGGACAACCTGGAGATCCAAATGGCCAACCAGGACAACCTGGAGATCCAAATGGTCAACCAGGACAACCGGGTCAGCCGGGAGATCCAAATGGCCAACCAGGACAACCGGGTCAACCGGGAGATCCAAATGGCCAACCAGGAACAGCAGGTTCTCCGGGCACTCCAGGTTCTCCGGGATATCCAGGAACGCCAGGTTCTCCGGGCACTCCAGGTTCTCCGGGATATCCAGGAGCACCAGGTTCTCCAGACACTCCAGGAACACCAGGTAGTCCAGGCTCTCCGGGATATCCGGGGAGACC